CACATGACTGAGCATTGGTCTCGAGATATGCGTCTTCACGCCGGACCCCAAACCGTTTCATTAGCCGGATTGGATGACAGGGTTTTTTGCGTCTAGAAAGACGGATTTTTTATGGCAATAAAAAACAATTCTATAATCTCTCACAAATTAGTCAAAATATAACAATTTCCTATATAAATTTTTAATTTGATAAAAATATACATCCAAATTAAAATTTTTTCAAATTCTCACACGAATTCGGAAAATTCATTACAATATCTTACATATCAGGAGACAACGTGAAAAGTTGTGTATTTCCGTTAAAATTTCAGCTGTTTTGATAAGACACGTCGAAAATAATGTACATGTATATGGCACGTATCAAATCTAAAAACCAGAAAATCTAAAAAATTTAACTGATTCGATAAATAATTAACCAACGAAATTAAAAAAACGGAAAGAAAGAAAAAAAAAACTCCTAAAATCTCTATCTCTAAATCAACATTCACTTTCTATTGATCCCCACTCTCACTTAGTGATGTAAAACAGGCTGACTAGGACCGGCCTGGACCGGCTCCTCTCGAGCCAACTCATTTTTGGCTCAGCCCGTTTGACCCATTTTTTACGAGCTAGAAAAACTCTGACCCAGACCAAATTGTCCGAGTTCCGAATCGGCTCACGAACTAGCCCGTTTTTATCTAATTATTCGAAAGAATTTTAAAATTATATAAAAATTAATAATTTAAAGAATACAAAACAATATTTTGAAGTCATCCAACATAATATAAAATATTTAACATAACAATCTATAAAACTATATCTAAATCAAGAAAAATTATCAAAATCAAAGCAACATAAAAAATGTAATACACCAACAACATCAAAATATAACAAAAAATATACACCCAATATCAACATAAAAAATGTCATACACCAACAACATCAAAATATAACAAAAAATATATACCAACATCAACATATCATAAATTTTAATTTGCTATATATGCTGAAGAAGTGAAGAAATTAAAGTATGAAACCCTAATATTTTTTTTATATCAGCCCGAGAGCCAGCTCGCGAGCCGACCGAGCTAGTCCGATGGGCTCGGGCTCGTCGCGAGTTGGCTCGTTCCGCCCGTTTTTATTTGGTCTTTTATTTTTGCAACCCAACTCGATAAAAAACGAGCCAACTCGCGAGTCTGGCTAATTTTGCCATCACTATTCTCACTCTCACTTTCACCAAATCCCTAACTCCGGCGCGACACCCTCCCTCGGCAAGACCCTCTTTCGACGCGACACCTTCCCCCGCGCTTCTCCTATCTCTGACAAATTTAGATCCATTCTCTCTGTCTCACTCTTGTCTCTCATCTTCTATGTCTCCATCCGGCGATTTCTCACTCCGATAGCACCATTAATCATCCCAACCTTTGATTTCGATAATACCCTCGGCCGCCACGAAACTCTCCTCCCCCGACACGACGATAATCACCTCTTCTGCCCTACTTTCTCATTCTTCATCGGTAATCACCTTTTCGTGAAATCGATAGTTTGATTGACTATAGTCTTGTATTTTGCTGGATTATGTTTTACAGCTTTCAGAACTGTTTCTTCTAGTTTTGACAGATTCATTTTGTAGTTTGATTGATTTGTTTGATTTGGTTGATTTGGTTAATGGTGTTGTAATTCGATTGGTTTGGTTGTTTTGTAGTTCGATTGATTTTCTTGATTTGGTTGATGGTGTCGTATGATAAGCTATTGTCGTTTTTGGGTTGATGTTGTTGAATGATATTATGTTGGTAGATGAGTTCAAAATCTGAGGGAACTTTTCAGTCTGGAAGTTCGAATTGGAAAAAAGGAGAATTAATGCCACGAAGAGGTGTTCCAATACAATGCGAGTGTGGATCTGCTATTACAAGATGAACTTCCAAAACTCACAATAATCCTGGAAGAGTTTTTTTTTCGTTGTGCAAATCATGAGGTATTGATTGTTTTTGAGAAATTTTATCTGTCTTTTGGCAGAGGTGCATAATATTGTTGTTTTGATGTTATGTTTTTAGGGAATCCTTCACGCTTATTTAAATGGGTGGATGATACTTTTATCAAAGAAATTGAAGATTTACATGGTGAACAACAAAAATAAGGTGGTGAAATTGAGTTGATCCATAAAAAAAAAGCAAAAAATGGAAGTAGAAAGGGAAGAGTTCGAAGATAAGATGAAAAGAAATGAAAAAGAGAAGCAAGATTTAGAAGTCTATATGAAAAAAACCGAAAGAGAAAAGCAAGAGTTGGAAGCCAAAATAGAAAAAATTGAAAGAGAAAAGCATACAAACTCATATGAAAACAAACACTAGCACCAACGATTTGGAGACTTGTAGTTGCGTTACCAATTCCTTCTTCTCTTTTTCAATTGTTCCCACCTTGCCTTCACAACTATAGTTTGTCAGTTTGAAATATCCCTTGGGATTTATTGGTGAATGGAATTTTTTGTTTAAACTACGTAAGATAAGAAATATTATATTTTGGAACTCAATATTTCGTATTGAATATGGTTAGTTGGAAAAAATTGTTTTATGGTCTTTATGTGTATAAACGAATCAAAAACAGATTTAATTAGAACATAATATGCCAAAAATAAGATGTCGCACATGAGTCCAATCTAGGAGAAAAAACATTTCACAGACAAAAAGACATTACAATACATATGAGTTCACAAATGGCATACAACATATTGTTGTACATCCAAAATAAAAGACCGTTCAGATTGTCATATTATCACACCAATAACAACAAAAAAGAAAGATCATATTCTTCAAGTTCAATTTTCTTATACTTGTTTTCCTGATGTACAAGACAAAGATTGAACATGTCTATATAAATATAATAACGTAGAAACAGGTTGAACAAAGAAACAAAAAAAAAATTGAATAATAACATACCCAGACATGTCAGCGTGTCTGAGTACTGAAAATGACTGTTGAATAGTTGTTGTAGTCCCCATATTGCTTGGTAACATTCAAAGGAGACGACAATGTCAATTAGTGAGAGAAAGCCCGTATTACATTGTCTAGCTAGATTGAGTGGATATGGAAGCACCCGATAGTGCATTTCTACTAGATGTTGCATTCCCGACCGATCGTGCAATACTACTCGATGGCGCATTTGTGTCCGTTTGTGCATTGCTAGTCCATGGTGCATTCCTGTTCGATGGTGCATTTGTGCTCGTATGCGCTGATATTGGCTACAAAAAAAACAAAACATGAAAATATATTGTAATCGATTAAAATATTTGTGTATACAACACACCTCAAATGGCCTTGGTTCATTCTTGCATGTCTTTGCATTATGAACAAGTTGTTTGCAAAGTCTACATCGGAAAACTCTTCCATGTCGGATCATGTGACCGCTCTTGAGGATGACTCATGAGAATCTTTAATTCTTCTGTGTTTCTTTGGACGTCCTATCATTTGTATTGTTGTGGGGACACCAATTGGAGGTTTGTTTGATTTCATTCATGACGGTTCACTATTTACGGGTAGGATATTACGCTGATATATTACTTGCCATATGGATTTCTTAATGTAATGCGATATATATGTGAAAAAATTGAAAAAAAATAAGTCGTTAATGATCAACTATAATGCAAGGTATAAGTTAAAATAAAGGAATAGACAATTATCTAGAAACGTCTTATCGGTTGTCATCTCCGACAATTAAACGTCCTCGCAGACAAATCAACCGCATAACTTATCCCAAACTCAGCCATCTCATCTTTCCCATATCCACTCCGTTTATGTTACAATGACAGAATTTCTCACGCGACTTCTCTAAAACTTTCAAAATTCGTGGGGAACTCGGTTTTGCACTTTTCTACTTGAGTTGCATGTCACGATATCCGCCGCATTATACTCTTTCGAATTTCTTCAGGCATATCAATCATGGGAACACTACGTGCTTCTTTTATAGACCCATTGAAGCTCTCTGATAAATTGTTGTTAACGTCATGACATTTTGTCTCGGGATTAAAAAATGTGCGATATCATTTTTTCGGTTTTGTCCTCATAGAACCATCATAAGCCAATGGATTATACGCTCGGATGTCATGCACATATTGATGAAACTCATTTTCAAGGTAGTTCTTGGCCGTTTTCCAAAAAAGAAGTTTAAGCTCGAGGTCCTTGAACTGTTTCTTCCAGTTCGCAAAAACATGTCTTGTACACATCTTATGTTCAACCATTGGTAACTTTGATTCGATGGTATTCATCAAACCATGTTCAAAGTTACACAATTAATATCTTATCGTTAAACAATATTTATAAAACCAAGTTAAAGAGTTATTCATACCTTTTGCTTGTCGGACAATATCGTCAAATTTTTTCCCTCATCTAAATCTAGTCTCAATTTTCACACAAACCACATCCAATTGTCGGTATCCTCGGTACATACAATGATCCGATGCAATAGGGTAAATATCATCATTTGCATCTCTACCAACTGTTGATAGAAGTTTTTTCTTAAAATTCTACTTCAAGAAATATTCATCTAATCCGATAACCGGACGACAATGTCTTTTCCAGGAGTCGCGTAGGACTTCGAAGCAAACATAGAATCTGTGAAACACTTCCTGACCCGGAGTTGGTTTTGTTCCAATTTAAGTATGTATTGGGATTTGAACGTTGTAGCTCTAACTCATAGACCCAAAGTCAAAATTGAACTTCTTGATCTTCACACACAATTTTCAAGGCCAAACTTCGAGCCTTAAAACAATTGCTAATTGAGACAGACAAATTTTTATCTCATTGTATGTCATTCTGCATCTTTTTGGCTGTATAAATTAGATCTGCCCTTATCTTCTCAATGTACATTATGGTTATTTGCCTCATCGTTAACATATTCGCATATTTCGTAGGAGTATGGTTATGATCGTCTTTATATATTTTGATCATCCATTTGTTGATTGCATCTCAACCGAACAATAAACCCTCCATGGACAGTCCATATTACAACGCATTGCGGCTAATTTTTTCGATCCCACCTCGACAACTTGATGTTGATGTTCTCAGCTAACACATAGACAAACAGAGCCTTCTTAAATTCTTTCCCTGAATTGAAAGATTTCACTACGTGGAAATTATGTCGGAATCTTTGTCTTAGACTTGCCAAAGTTTTGTCATTCTTCATCTGTTCCTTCAGATGTCGTTGGATTAAATTCATCACTATTTGCATAATCCTCACTTGTATTCACCTCTTCATTTTCAACAACACCATCTTCAACAACAACAACAGGAAACTCTTCAATGAAATCATCATCACTGCTTTCATACTCACCAAATTCATCCATATAATCAGAAGAATTATCATAATCATATTCAGTAGTATGATCGTAGCCTACAAAATCATCATCAACATAATCACCTACACTTTCGTCATCACATCTTTCTGTAGGTGGCTTAACTGGAGTTGGCGGAGATAAATAGTGGTCTACGTATACATCTAACTCTCCACACAACATTATCATTTCACACATAAAATGAATTGCTTTGTTGTCCTTCAAACACACATCTCTTCTCATCCAAACTCTCATGTGGTAATGTAAACAACATTTCTTTGATTGTACTATTTATCTTACGAGATTTCACGAAATCTTCATGAAAAAATCAAGACATAACATTCGTATCCACCATAACACCTTTTTCCACAATTCCATCCAAGTAACAAATTTTTCATCTATTTTGTGCATAAATAAAACAATGTAAAAGTTGATTTTACACCAACTATAAACTTAACCCAATTATTACTATCTATTAATAAAATCGAACCACTCAAATCAACAACAAAACTGCTTACCTCATTTTCTCAGTCCACTGATGGTTCTAGGGTTTCATCGTTCACCAAATTCTAAACCCGAGAAACTATAAAACAAAAAACAGACATTATTAAAAACACAAAATCTAAATTTATCCACAAAAAATCGTCAATCCCTTAATACAAACCCCCAAATCAAACAAAAAACTTAAACAGAAAACAATAAGGCAGTATTGATACCTGGGGATGAGAGCGTCCGAGCGGAGGTCGACAAGTGGTGTACAATCGTGGGGAGGAGAGTTCCGGGGGGTAGGGGAGGAGACTATCGGATAGCCGATGCTCGGGGGGTTGTTTCCCGGAGGAGACTCTCGGGGAAGAGATTATCAGAAAGGAAAGAAGCGTAGGGAGGGTGTCGCGTGCCTCGCCGAGGGAGGATACCTCGTCGGAATAGGGTGTCGCCGTGGGAGGGTGTCGTGTTGAGGTGTCGCGTCTGAGTGATTTGGTGCAATAGAGAGTGACAGTGAGAGTGAGACTGAATGTCGATTGAGGGTTAGGGATTTTAGGGGGTTTTTTCTTTTTGTTTTTTTTTTTAAAATTTCGTTGGTTAATTATTTACCGAATTGGTAAAATTTTACATATATTTTGGTTTTTAGACTTGATAGGTGACATATACACGTGTACATTATTTCTGACGTATCTTGCAAAATCAGCTAAGATTTTAACGGAAATACTCAACGTTTCACGTCGTATCCTGATGTGTAGGACAATGCAACGAATTTTCCGAATTCATGTAGAAATTTAAAAAATTTTGAATTCGGGTACAAATTTTTGTCAAATTTAAAATTTATGTAAGAAATTGGTATATTTTTGTAAATTCGGGAGATTATAGGATTTTTCATAAAAACAAAAAGAGGGTAAAACAGTGTATCCTTAAAATATATATATCGTAACAATTTTATTAAGATTTCTTTTGGGTAGCATGTTATCTCCTCAAGAAATCCTACGGCCAACAATATGATTAAAGAAAAACCCACGTTTATGGATTGATTGGAAAAATAGAAGGATGGGCTTTAAAAAAGTGTAATAAATATACTTTGGAAAAAACGTTTCAGTTGGGGAATCTCGTAGCGTTGTTTGGGAAACTGGCAGAAAAATCTTGCAGGAGAGCTTTTACAGCTTTGAAGAATCAATGATATCAATTTTGCAGGATGTTTTTTTAACGCATAACTTCATTGTTGTATTTCTCTTTCTTAAAAAAATTGTAATATATATATATATATTTAAAAAATCGTTTCAGCTTCCAATTTGATTTTTTTTTCCGATAATACATATGTGTACATTTGCTTTTATTAAGTGCCCTTCTTATTATAGAATCTTGTCCCAAATCATAATCATATATATACATGAGTTGAAACACACGCACGTATATACAAATGGGATACTGTTTAATTAAAATTTAAAATTGATTTCCTTAAAATATTCCGTAGTAAGTTATGTGTTGGGTGTTTCTAGTATTTGATGTTAATTGTTTTTGTTTTTGTTTTTAAAATGTGTTGAAAAATAATAAAGGCTTTACTCACATATACACTATATTAATATACTCTAATAATAGCAGAGAAAACAGATTGATAAGTTTAAAACAAATTTTTATAAATTGGTACGGTTTAGTGGTCGAAATTACTTTTAGAATGTTCCATTAGGTTCATTAATGGGAAAAATAAAACACAGTTTGGTAATAAATAGCGTCAGAAAAGTGGGACCCTCAATATCGACATGCGCAATAGTGACGTGCTGAGGTCATAATTTTCTTTTTCACGTGACACGTCCGCGGCCTAACTGCCACGTGTCCATTAATCTTTAGTTCACGGTTAGTTTAATGTCATGTATCTATTCGATTATGATAATATCTGACATGCGAAATTGGTGACGTGCTGAGGTTTTTCACGTGACACGCCCGCGGCCTAACTGCCACGTGTCCATTAATCTATTCGATTTATGATAATTAATCCATCCGTTCACACGCAAGATGAAGTAATAAATAAACTAATGAAACTGGTGGGTTTTAATATTCCACTTGTCCCTACTTCTTTTTGGATTCGGTTAATACCGGTTTGTAAACTTTTGCAGATCCAATTTGATTCACAACTCAACCGAAAAAAAAAAGTTTGCATGTGACCTTCAAAAATGACAAATTATTTATTGAGGATTGGAGAATAATGGATTGTAAAAATGTATATAAAAATTGCAATATATATACGTATATATATTTAATAATTCGTTTCAGCTTCCCATTTGATGCTTTTCTCGAGAATACATACGTGTACATTGGCTTTTATTAAGTACCCTTCTTATTTATAGATTCCTGTTTCGAAGTTTCTCACTCACTTCTCATCCTCACCCTTTTCTCGTGTACAGAACTTCATTGAGCGATAGTTTGGGAAGGAGAGCATTTAGGGTATTATGGACTTCGACTACCGAAGAAGCCAGATAAGAATGGAACAGATTTTTTTCATTTTGCCACGAAATTGAGGGATGGTGTTCAATCTCTCAATTTCGTGGCAAAATAAAAAAATCTGTTTTTCTTATGTTTGTTTGAGATTCGGACCTTCTTTGTTCTTGTAGCTCTTCGTGTTTCGGACTTTTCTGTTGTTGTTGTTGGACTGGACCTTGCTTGTCGTTCTTATCTATATTATGTTGCTGTTATTATGTGTTGTGCGTGTGTTTACTTGTGTTTTCAGGCAGGTGGCGCTTGGAGCCTGGCAACCACGCAGGAGTGTTTCTTTTTTCTTTTTTTAAATAATATTCTGGCATTCCGCCGGTACTCTTCTTCTTTTAATGTATTTGTTGAAGATCCATTGTATTAACAAATAATAATTATGGTTGTTCATTAGTAGTATTTGGTAAAAAAACCGAAAGTAAATGTGTGTGTATATATATATATACACTATATTTGGATTCCGTTTTCCAATTATTTATAACTAATTTTAATTATACTCATCATTTTCTCATTCAAGCTTATTGAATAGTTTCTAAACCATAAAATGTAGGAGGTATAACCTTATTTATTCGAGTTAATTTTATTTCTCAATTTAATATCCTTTTTTCCATTTAAAAATATTTATGTGCAATGTAATTATTAAATACCGTGTTTTTTCTTCTTTTTTTTTTTCTGTTTATTTTACTTTTGTTTGTGTTACAAAATTTGTATTTCGATATTTTTATTAGGCCATGCAAAGCGCAAACGTGTTGGAACCGAAAGGAAAACCAAGGCCCGAAAGAAAACAGTAAATGGGCCGAATTTTATAGTTGGATTTGACTTGAGAAAGGTACATGATATGTTTATAGAAATCTTTTTTTTTTTGGGTCAATTTTATAGAAATCGTATATATGAGAGATAGCTTGGAAAAAAAATATTTCGGATTATCCAAGATTTGGTTGCTCAAATGGTACAGAAATTTCTTTTCGATTCAGGTTCGAATCTCCTTTTGGCGTATTCTGTCGAACGCATAATAAACTTCCGAATCTATATATATATATATATATAAAAGTTAGATTTAAAAGTTTTTGGTGATAACATCTCATCATTTATATGTCAAATTTTAAATTCTTGTTGAAAGCCCATTGTAATTACAAATAATAATTATGGTTGTTCATTAGTATGTGGTGTTTGTGTTTTGCCTTCCTCACAAATATACACATTGAGTTAGAAGACAGACTATAATCAACAATATAAATACTTTAATACGAAAATGAATATAAATAAGATCTAGATAAAAATGTTGATTAATTAGGCATTGAAATTTTAAATAAAAAAAATTGGACAAATATCATTTTTAAGTATGGAAGTAACCCAAAAAAAAAAACCGAAGTACAAAAAAATTGTCCAAACCAATTTGTCCTTTCATTTATTTTTTTCATTTATTTGATGTTTTATTTTCCTATATATACATGTCCAACAAATTCAAATTTCTTGATGATTCGTCAATATTTAAATTTAAAGTTTGGATGTGGCGAAGATAAAAGGGTATTATATCTAAAATAACTTCTCCTTCCTTGTAACAACTCAAAATTCGGTATTTCTGGCCTAATGAATAGTCACTTGACTCATAAAAAAAACTCAGTTTATTTCAAACCAATCCACGATATCTCAACAGGGGAAGTCTCAACAAAAATCATCATCATCACCCTAAAATCTATATATATTAATAAAGAAGTTTAAAGAGATTTGGTGAAGCCACCTAAGCATCTTATGTGGCAGTTTTTTTCATTTCTATTGCTTCATAAAAAATTCATTAGGTATTTATAATTAGAACATTTAATTTATATTTTTCATTGAATATAACAATTATATTAAACAAATAATAATAATAATAATAATCTAAAAAAATATCATGTTTATTACATAAAAATCATCTTGATCTTAATTTTACATATTACTTAGAATTTTATTTACTTATATTTATCTTTATTTTTCATCCAAGACAATTAAATGGTTAGGGATAATTATATTATTTGGTGTATAAAAACTTATACACCCAAAGCAAATTTAAAAAAAAAAAACTTTTAACACAATAACGGTAAGACTTTGAAACGTGACATTTACTAGCCACTACTACTCACATTTATTTTTTTAATTAATATTATTTTACGTTTCTTAACATGCGTTCATATATTTAGTAAATACACTATATAAAACAAACATTAAACAAAAAAAAACGTATAAAGCTCGAGAACGTGTTGGTGATTAGCCCATTACTAAGCACATTTATTATTTTTCGTAATTAGTATTATTATCTTATCATGCATTGGTATTTAAATTAACTTACATGGTACCGAACAAAAAATTAACTTACATGGTTTCCATGGAACCATACCTTCACGAGGAGAATCGGGCACAATCTCGAAAAACCGACAGTGGCTTATCGCTTGATCAGAGCGTCATACGGATCTAAAACAATAGGATGTGGACATCGTTCAGAGCATGATTGATCAGTTCATGATACAACCACATAAAAGAAACGAGTTTGGCTGTTTCAAAAATAGTTTCAAGGAAAATGCATGAGAGTGGTGGGTTTCAATCGAGAGTTCCGGTGAATAAGTTGATGGATACTTGGCTGAAATCACGAGGGATCCGAATTCGCCCGAGGCTAGGTCATGTTTTCCGTCTCTCACTTTCTAAGTTCCTCGCTATCGCCGAAAAGATTTCAAATTTCCCGACTAACTTCACACGACAGAGTTTACGTACCATTGACATGTTTTTTAAGGTATGCTCATATTTTTTTCACAAATCCTCCAATAGAAATTCTTATCTTTCCTCTCGGTTTTCTGTCAGATCTCCTGATCATGGTT